TTCAGTGTCACCCTCACAGGAATCATTCTAGATAGCATATTTAGGTGATCATTTTGTTAAGTGTTTTAATTCTAGCCATTATCATATCTTTTTCAAAAACACCCTCCAACATCATTCAAGCCATGAAGGATTCATGGGACATGTTCTGGACTCTATTGTTATTTTAGCATAATTTTCTACTCAGAAATTAAACTAGTTCTATGCACAGTGGTCCAAACAATCTTAGTTTACCCCTACCTCATGGTCTTTGGAACTCTCTCTCCTGCATGGAATACTTTCCAACAAGCACCAAGATGATTCACCATATAGTCCCTCAAGTTATGCCCACATGCCAGTGTGGATTTCTGCCCGACAGTCTTACGAATGCCTCCATTGCATCCCTCGCTTTTTACTTATCTTTCTAAAGTTCAATCTTGTCTATTTTGTCTCCTGGTATATCTTTTCACCAAAAAAAAAGAGAAAAGAAACATCATACCCGATTCTCTTGATGAATGTTACCTGTGGATTTCTGCCCCACAGTCTTACGAATGCCTCCATTGCATCCCTTGCTTTTTACTTATCTTTCTAAAGTTCAATCTTGTCAATTTTGTCTCCTGGTATATCTTTTCACCAAAAAAAAGAGAAAAGAAACATCATACCCGATTCTCTTGATGAATGTTACCTGAACAAATGAATACTTAAAATATGAAGTTAGATTTTTTGTAGTAAGATTATTGAAGCTAAGGAAGATCAGAAATACTTTGCAGCAAGGGAACAGTCTCCATCTTTGTAAAGCCATCTTGGTGCCTCTGGCTGGATGGAAATCAAGTCTAGAAAGCAATCGAAATGGCTAAAAGTTAGCAACTCTCCTCCATAAGTCCATGCAGGAGTGATCATGGCCACCCTGGGGATGGACTTGATTGTCAGAGCTAGCCACAGAGGCAGAGGAACGGCGAGGTGATGTCGAATTGCACCAACCCAAATCCATCTATTTCTCTTGTCTCTTCTCATTTTCTGTTTCCTCTTATCATCAGACACCCCCAAAGATTAACATATAAGAATTGTAATGTATCAATCAAATTATTTGAAAATGATTTAAAAGGTAGTTTGGATAATGGAAACAATCTCTTTTAACATGCCTGGACATTTAGATATTTAGGGAGTTTGAATACAAAATTGCAAATTTCAAGTTAAAAATATGTAGTAGGAATATTTTTTGAAAGTTGTTGCAATATTTTTGCCCAGTTTTATTGAAAAATATTCTTCTACTGACCCAAAGTGAATGACACGCCTGGTTGTTCTTTGCTTTTTTAAATTTTTTTATTTATGTGTATATGAGTGTATTGCCTGCATGTGTGTAAGTGCACCCGTGTTGTGCAGTGTCTAAGGAGGTCAAAAGAAGTTGTCAGATCCCCTGGAACTGGAATTACAGCTGCCATATGGGTGCTTGGAATCGAACCAGCGTCCTCTGTAGGAGCAGCTGGTGCTCTTAACCGCTGAGCCATCTCTCCAGCCCCGTTAATTTATTTTCTCATAACACTTGAAAAAAATCATACATTTTCCAAAACTTTCCACTTTTTTTCAAATCAGGTGCACATAAAATTGTTGACAAAAATATTAAGAACTTATTCAATCCCTTCTTGAAGAATAAACTGGTTTTGAACAGAACAACAGAGTGAAAGAATGATTTTCAGGATGAGTTAAGGCAAGAGGAAATGACTAGTTTACAAACAGCATGTGGCTAGTGTCCTTGAAGTGGACCATTAAAAATAAATTCCCAAAGTGATTATGACAGAAATCACAAAAATTTTTCTTTGGTGGAAACATTTTTGTATGGGCGAGCGGGGATGTCGGAGCGCCAGCTGCTGGGCGGGCCACCGGTCTCCCACACGTCGCTGGAGTGCGGCGGTCCCACCGGCCGCGTCTGCTGTTTGGGTCCCTGGCTCTCCGCGTTGTTGGCGGGTCCCTGCTTCTCTGTGTTGTTGAGGCTCTCTGCTACCGGGGCTGGCCCAGTCGGGTTCTGTCCCAATCCACCGTGCACTTCCTCGAGATACGAGATCCGTCAGCTGCCAGATGGCATGGGAAGGTGCGGAGACATCGAAAGCTGGGTTTCTGTGAGTCCCTGGCTTATGAAGAGACAGCCCTCTCCAGAGAGACTGGGTCGTAGGCAGTAAGACACAGAACTCAGCTCAGTCAGTGGCACAGCTCCTTTATTCAGTGACTCAGCTCGGCTCCAGGTCTTGGTGATCCAGCTCCGATTATTGAGGGAAAACCAGGATACTTTACACTGTGGGGGTAGTGGTAAAAGCCTTAGCTGATAGGTACTTTGTGGGATGCCCTATTTACATATGGAAGTGGGCTCCTGCCAGGCTGCCAGACTGCCTGAAAATCACACAGGAAAAGCTGGCAGTTCCCCTGCCAGGCTGTCAGACTGCCTGAAAATCACACAGGAAAACCTGGCAGTTCCAGAGCCGGAGGCCATGTTTCTGTGACGGCTACTTCAAAAGATGAGTCAGGAAGATGCCGGGAAGGCACCCTGCTGATAAAAGGAGTCTCTGCATATGAAGCCGAGCCCATGGGCTATCCGGACATGGAGAGACTGCTACTTTACACAACAGGGGTCCCCAAAATTTTTGGAAATGTGAGTAGCTAAATGATTGATTTTGGCTTCTTTTGAAGCCCCAGGAGCCTGACTATTAAATATTAAATGAGTGTAAGAACTAAGGACACAAGTTGAATCCTGGGTGCTGTAAAGACCTGTGAATATGTGTTGAGTGCCACTGTGTTCCTATGACAATACCTAGTTAAAACACTCTTACAGTGCATTGTTCTGATTACATAGCCCCATAGTACATAGCAGATATTATAATCTGTCTTAATAGGCTGGCTACTTTTATTTATTTCTACTACCCCATGGCATAAATGGCAAATATTCAGAGTGCTGTGTAAATCAGTTATAATTGTAATCCTTCATCACAAAATGCAATGAACTAACAACAAATTTGTCAGTGATTTTAGAGGTTTAGTGTTTATAAGTTATCCTTATGGTAATGGTGAGAATCTGCTTATTAACTTCATTAAAACCATGCATCTATTAATCATCCCTCAATCTTCTTGGAATTAAAATGTGTCTCTGAGAGTATTGCTTATTTTTCATACTAAATATTGATAGCATCATCTTTCAAAATTCATTCTCAGTAGCATGTTGAGATATCACAGCTATTCCCATAGCATTTTTGGTTTTAAAGAACTTTATCCAAAATCATTGCAAGATCCATCACTTGGTTACCATTAGGAGGTAAGTGGGATAAAAATTTCCCTAAGTATGTAAAATGGAACATATTTCTAAAACTCCAGAATGAAACACTGAACTCTAGCTAACTTCTATTTGATTTTGTAAATATGGCATATGCATCATTATTCAAGAAATCATTATTATAATTAGCTTATGAGCTATTTTTGAAAGTGACTCATTTGTCTTCTAGTGCCATAAACATTTATAGTCATTGTTTTCAGCAGTTCAGTTTTCCAAGGCAGATAGTAATTCATTCGAAAAATAGTGAAGAATATGTTTGAATATACATTTTTACTGAATTTTTGTGCATTTCATACAATACATCTTAGTTATATTTAGACCTCCCAAATCTGCACCTCCCTATAGCCCACCTGCCAGATTCCATGCATTCTGCTATATATGTTAAGGGCTATTGAGTCAAGCTTGTGTACTCAGATGTCCCTCTGTGTGAGTTCATTTCAACGGACCCTGTTTAGTGTCACTGCCATAAAAAAGACCATCTCTCCCTCACCCAGCAGTGATCTTAGAACTAAGGTTTGGGCCTCAAGCCCATTTCCCAAGATCTATGTTAGGTCTGTGTCTGATCGAGTTTCCATGGGTCTTGCACATGCTGTTAACTTTGCTGCAAGTTCGTGTGAGCTAGTTCTCAGAAGCCTGAAAAATACTGTTTTCTAGTGGTTATCCACCACTGCTGACTAATATAACCTTTCCACAACTTCTTCCTTAATAGTCTCTGAGCCCTTGTGAGTGAGGTTTAATATGAGTCCTATCCAGGGACTCACACTTTGCAGTCTCTTATTCTCTATACTTTGATCAGTTGTTATCTTCAGTGTTAATCACCCACTGTTGCATGAAGAACATTTGCTGATGAGAGTTGAGAGATGCATTAGTATTCTCTCTACCCCCTGTTCCACTATGTTCTGTGAGCCTTAGGTGTAGAGATTTCACTGTAAATGTGCCACTTAGGGTTGGGCATCTCACAGATACTTATTTTCCCTGTGTGACCAGTTGTGCAAGTCTGTCATAGTCTCCATCTATAGCAAAAAGAAGCTTCTTTGGTGAGTGGTGACAGGTATACATGTCTGTAAATATAAGGATCTATATTTAGAATACAATAAGAGTTTAACTCAATTCATTTCTCATTTGAAGCATATGTATGCACTTTTGATTTACTCTCAATAATCTACTCATACATTACCAAGACTAAATGTAAATTTTAAGTATGTATCTAGGCAGTATTTATTATTCTTGAAACTGCTTTCCTTGTTTTACCCACCTTGTTCTTGCCCACCTTGTTTGGAAGTCAATCTGTAATACATAAGACATGACTTACTGACCAGGAATGTCTATGCCAGAAGCAATTTTTTTCCATATATTAGATATTCTTTATTGAAGATAATTTATTGCATGTAAATTGGCTGCTTGTTTCCAGTTTTGTTAGGAACATTCTCTCTCCCCTCTGACCTATCTCTTTCCTCCTTCCAGGAGCTGGAATTCTCGAATTTATTTGCTGTTCTTCACTGCATTCACTCTTTTTTTGCTGCCAAAGTAGCTTGTTTGGACCCCCTGTTCTTAGGCAGTCAGGCTGCAGCCTCTGCTGCCTCCAGCTCTGCGACTACCAGCAAGGCAAAGCACCTGGCTTGACTTCCTGCGCTCTGTCTGGCAGGTACCAGGCCTAGGGACACAGATGAGCAGACTCATCATTGAGATCCGGGAGAAACCACTATGTGAGCAAGTCAGCAGGGGGTTCAGACCGAAACTTCAGCAGGACAAAGAAGGTCCTGATGTATCTTGGAAGGCCCAAACAGACAGGACAGCCTGTTCTCTCTCCTTGGATCTGCATCAAGACACAGCTCTTGCCAAACATGGAGACAAAAGAACAAATAATGTAAAGTGTGTAAATAACATAAAAATTGTAAGCTACCTATAAATAAAAATACCAATTAAATGGCTATTTCTCTACTTTAGATTATTTTGTATGACAGATCCACATTGGGCCAGATCGTGAACTAATGCCTTGTCCTTGTATTTTGAGTGCAAAGAGGTAAAAAATGACAGTAAGGAACATGCGGGAAGCCAACAAATGTGGATGCACCTTAATTCAAACATGTGAGTTTCTTCCCGTAATCTCATTCCACAGTTCCACATTGACATTCCAATTATGTTTAGCAGATGATAAAGCAAGCCACAGAACTTCACAAGGATTATCCCACTGACCTATGGCAAATGCAGTGGGAAACACACCATTTCCTTGGGTTCATTGTCACTGCAATGATTTGTTAAATGCCAATGTCAACCAGATACTCCAAAAATATATTATTAATGATACAAAAATTTGAGAATGTCCTGTTATTCCTTTTAAATGCATTTGTATTTCACCTGAGATTTATTAAAAAACTCAACTTTCACATATTTTAAAGATCCCAAAAGATTTTACAATGAAAATAACCAATAAATACTGTGTAAGAATCAAGACTTTGTAACCCTGTTCTATTTAGTCGTGAACTGAAACATTCCAAGAGTGTCATCACAGACCTATTATTTGTTCCAGCTAAATGACAGTTTTCAACTGAGTTGTCTTATGTGCGAATAAAGCAAGATTTGAAAACAGTAGCTAAAACTCATATCTTAGAGTGTCGGGTGATTAAGTAATGCCAAGCGATGTAGCCAATTGACGTTTGGCTATCTTGTTTTAGGATTATGAAAGTGAAGGGGTAACTACATGATAAACTTGGCAGTATGAATCCAAGTTTGAGTGCAGGAACTAGCTTGCTGCACAGAGTGGGAATCTTAAACCATGCTCTGTGGTTCGCCACAGTTCCATCCACATCTGCTTTTAAGCAGCCATCTGCTTATCGGAAAATTAGAAGGAAAGCCCATTTTTTATTGGCACAAATTTCTATGTCAGGTGAACACTACTTGATCCTTGTTAAAATGACCAAATTTCTAATAAGTAGTTCAGTTTCTTTCCTTAAGCGGGAAAAGCATACTCAAGACTCAAGAATGAAATAAAAATATTTTTTAAAGGACAGATATCCATTGAAGTAAAATAACTGAATAGTGTTTCTGTTATCATCATTAGAAATCTTATTAATTTTGCATCAGTTTAATGCTTAAAAATATTAAGTTGAAAGAAAAATGTGAAGGTTCACAATTAAGACTAAGAAATCTTTAGCTGGATCTCAGACACCTTGCGAAAATAACCAGAAAAGTGGCTAATAAAGGTTTAATATATTCTGCTTTGACAATGAAGTTGAACACATACCTATAATTGGCATATTGCATTGAAGTTACGGACTACTATATACATCAAACACGAGTCATAGTAACACTTGGAGACACCAAAACCTGAGTTCTTTAAGTCATTTCTAAGACTGAGGAGAAAGAGTAAAGAGAGAGACACCCAAGCTTCTCAGCACACTGTAGCTCAGCATGCCCCGTATTCAGAGTGTGCCGATCTGGTCGACAGGCCACGGGAAATGGAGCAGTCATCTAAAAGAAGAATAAATAAATAAAAAGATAAAATTTAAAAGTACATAGGTTTTACAAAATCATTTAAAAATAGATTTTATAAGTATCCACTTAAACATATAAAGAATATAAGTAACTTCTGTTGTATTAAACATACCACAATACTTATGCTGTGTCAACAACAAAGGCAGAGAATGAGAGATGGTAATATGTGACTTGTGTCCAACATGCTCCCTCCTCTCCTCATGTGTGCATATATAGATGAATGTAGAACAATGAGGTCAAATTGTATTCAAAGAAAATATTTCCTGTCCATACAGAGCATACTTTAAATTACCCTGCAAATTGTTGCTTGAACTGAAATGTATTACAAAATCCTTGTTGTTATTTTATAATATTGGTTAAAAATAAACCATCATGCATCAGTTGCTACTTAACACTATTAGTCGCACAATCCCCTGTTGGAAAAATACTATTTTGATTCCACCAGTTTAATAATTAATATTTAATGCTTTCTTTACAATGTGATTAACCCATGTGTGATGCTATTACTTGGGTCACTTAAATGAAAAAGCTTAGAAATGAAACAAAATACAAAATTCAGTTTCTTATATGACTTAGGTTTAGATATATATTTTCAACAAACTGCAATTTGAGCACTAAAAATGCAAAAGAATTTTTAATGTGTTAAACCCTCCTGTGCTTTTGTGTATGTGTGTATGTGCACATATATGTGCGTGTGTGTATGTAGGAGGGTAGAGAAATCATTAAAGGGTTCATTACAGTGTGCACAGTGCAAACATAAATGGGAATATCATTGTTATATCAGTCAGAGAAGGCAGTTTAAAACCATTTGAAAGTTGCTAATAAAAATGATGTCTTTCTATGATAAAGAAAAAAGGAAATGTTTATGCTAAAGTATATAAAAGAAGGGACATCTTGAATTTGTTATGTTGCAACAAATATTTATCTCAAAGACACTTTATTAGGTGACATTTTGCATAACCCAAAGGTTATCATTCATCTTTATTTTTAAAGACAGCAAAATCAACTCGTCATTTCTTGCCCAGATTTCACACATGAACCAACTTATATTTTAAATCCATCACTCATGAAACTGTCATTCAGAAGGAAGAAAAGTAATTAGTGCCAAGTCAGGGTTGGTGAGCAGAGAAAACACTCCCATGCAGGCCGAGAGGTGTTGTCTGGGCACATTCATTTAGGGCTCCACTTGTTCCACATTTACAGTGACAGAGATGGTATAATCAGCTTTGTACATGTTGAATGCTGGACTTAAATGAAGATGGCTTGTTACTGAGAAAATAAGCATTGAACAATCACTTCACTTTACTGTGTGAAATCAGTGTGAAGATGCTTTAACAGCACAAGAACAACTTTGTGCTTAACTTTATAAGGTAAGTGTCCAGGTTCCAGTGTAAAGAAGTCATTTTGCTATGGTTGATATTGCTGTGCTCATGAGCGCTCGTTAACAAACCACTTGGTTCATACCTCCAAATTTGCTGCTTATGTTATATTTTTTCCTTAATACTTTAAAACTATGTCACTTCTTCACACATTATAACTTACTTTTGAAGATAAATAAAATATAATAAATGTTATATATTTTATACATATTAAAATGCAATGAAATATCAGAAATATAAAATGTAAATATATTTATTTCCTATTTAATTGCTTTGGTGGATGTTTGTAAATTGTAAATTAAAATCTGTGACAACAACTTGTCACTGTCTTTCAGTTCATTAATGTACTATTACTAATAAAACTTTTTTAATGAAGCATAAATAAATAAAACAATCTTTTTGTATATTTATTTCCACATTTATTGGCTGGCTTTGATTTGTAAGAGGGATATGAGACTAAAGTACAATCTCAAGAATCTGAGCTCCCTTGCAAAAGAGTCTCTGTGCTTGAAGTACAAACCATTTAGAACATGACCTGCCTGGATCATCAATATTCATGAAGATTTGATATCTGGCCTCTGAAAGGCCCCAAAGACTGAAGAAAGATGTATTTGCCAAATTACTTAAACAGCTAAAGAGTCACAACTCTTGAAAAATGACAACGTTGATATTTCTATACTGGTGCATTAGGAGCTGAATGTGAAATGAGTGGTGGGCTGAGGACATCATCATCTTTTCTTTAGTAATTGGGGAGCAGCTCATCATGCTGTGACCTCTAAGACCATCATTTCTTTCAGGTAGTTGCAGTTTCATGAGGGTACATGCTCACAGACGCCACTATAGAAATGTTCCAATATCCATGCTGCCTTTGTTACTAAATGAACTACTACAAACTTTAACTTTTAATTTTTTGCTTTGAAAAAAAAAAAGAAGCAAAATGAAGCCACTTCTGAAAAAAATAGCATCTACCCAGCATGGCTAATTTAAATAATTAAATAATTAAAGTGAAGATACCCAAAAAAGAGACATTAAGTCTTAACATACCAAAAATAAACACAATTCCGTTTAGACAAAAATTTTCTTATCTATGTTTGTCTGCATAGACACAAATGAAGTATTTTTAATATATTATTTATTATTTTTATTTTATGTGCATGAGTGC